TGGTCTTGGTCTTGCGCTCCCAGTCTTGGTCTTGGTCTTGGTCTTGCGCTCCCAGTCTTGGTCTTGGTCTTGGTCTTGCAGCAAGAGTCTTGCAAGTCTTGCAATTACCTATTAGTCTATTACTATTTATTAAAGTTTACTTTAAATCCTAGAAAAACGTATTAGAATTGGAACATTGTGAGCTTGAATGAATATAGCCATAGTAAAGATCAAGCAGATTAATAAATAACTGAAGATTTGATAAGAAATTCGAAAAATCAACTGACCTATATGTCGTTTTCCATGGAAGTAACTGTTTCTTAATAAACATTTATGATCCTTGCTTTCTACCGCGCCGCCTCGCCACGTGCCGGCTCTATGATAAGGATGCCGCCGCAAATCAAACAATAATATAAAGCGTGTAAAAAAATTCGAAATTATTTTGCATGAGTATACCTACACCCTATGGCGGCAATCAAATAGTGTCAAATGTTATGATTTCGGCGTGGCGGCAACGATTGTTTTAGATTTCAAAAGAAGCCGCCGGCGCGTGTATCATAACCATGTACTTCCGAAAAGCGGCAAATTTCTTTGAGAAGTAAGTACAAAACCTTTGATGCCGCATTATCAAAGTGCCGATGGTTAAAACATAACTATGCATGCACTCAGTTTGATTTTAATAATTTTTTTATTCGCTATGTTTATGGTATTAGTCGTAATGCGCATAGGTCCAGTTTTTCATATTCTTTGATACAGTTTTTTGCGTCTCATAGAATTCCTAAGCGTACCTACCTATACACCGAACTGTTACACCTAACTACTCAGTGAAATAGCGCTAAGTCCTAGCTGCAAGACGCAAGAGTCTTGCAGGCTATGTCTTGTTCTTGCTCAAGTCTTGCACGGTCAGTCTTGGTCTTGGTCTTGCTAAAAATACGCGGTCTTGTTCTTGGTCTTGGTCTTGCAAAAACGCAAGAACAAGACCAAGACTGCAAGACCAAGACTGAATTTGGGCAACACTATACATGATTCATTTTATATGAAAGAGCTTTAAAGCCAAGTTTCAAGTAAATCTGACTATAGATAACATATCAGTGGTTGATTTTTTTTAAAATGCGGAAATAGTTGTTTTATTTTATGACAATGAGCATAAATATCAAGTTTCACGTAAATCTGACCAGAAATAAAAGAAAATGAAGGTTTCCCCATAAGTATAAAAATACTAACCAAATTCCGAATTTTCCCGTGTATTTTCAAAAAATTTTTTTTGCCCTGTCAAGTACAAATACAACAATCAAATCAGTTGAGCTGTACTCAAGTGATGCTCTGTCATACACTTTGCAATTCCCTAGAATTGACAGTTAGGAACAGTTTGTATTTGGTTTTTACCTTTTTCTTGGCAATTACTTTTCTATAATCCCTATTAACATTTCAACTTACTACGTACTAACCGCATGACATCTGTACTTCGCTGTCCTTCCTAATTGCTATTTTGTGAGGGGTTTCCTCGGTGATTTGGGTTCAACAACTTAATTCTATATTTTCTATCCTCAGCATTTTTGAAATCATATTTTCTTACTATTGGTTCCCTTCTTTTATCTACAACCCTTAGCTCCACCTTCATAATTTTCCTAAATTATTCAAATTCAAAGTTCTTCAGTCCTAAATCAACCTACGTTACTCTACTTTTCTTAGTCTCTAACAGTGTCTAATAAATATTTGTTTTACCAGATTTTATTATGATAATATTGAACACGCCTAGAACCAAAAATAACATGTGGAAATTAATATTCCAATGATCATTCACAGTTTGCGCAACTCTATAAACAGATTCGCTTTATAACACACTCTCTAGTTGGAAATTGCAGAAATCAACGCGATTGGGATGCAAAATCTAATTTTTAGGGAACAAGCGTATCAATTTTGTCAATAAACGTTATATCATTACAAATTTCCCGAAGTTAACAACTCTTTAATATATACTATTGAGAATTAAAGGATGTCAGTAATCTTCCGAGCAATATGAAAATTGGATGAGGCAGTTGGAATCGTTTGAGTCAAGTTTGCATAACTGAATAAATTCCAATTTTCCCTTACAAGAAACTAACTTCAATCGTCAAACGAAACGCGAATAAAATTGCGGGAAGTAATATATAGCTCGGCTGCAATAAGCGGATAATGTTAGCAAATAAAAGGAATGTAAAGGGTAAGATTACCTATTACCTACTGAAAACAGGAAAGGAGAACCCGCCTTCGAATAAAATGGGTGTATGTGTTGATGTACTTCTGCTACGCTAACTCCCGTTTCTTGTTTACCTTTGTTTTGGTGCTGATTCACCAACTTTTGTTTTATTTAGACCTTTAAAATTCCCGATTCGACAACTATTTATGTATATAAACACAAACTGAAGTACGCAAAATATACTTATTATGAAATAGGTTGAACTCATCCTAATTTGGTCGAGTGCGTTGCCGATGGTGCATAGCACCTCACACAAGCCAACAAGAGATTGTAATCTAATTTAAACCATAGACATAGGAAACGTAAGAGCAATACCCCCATAAAATTTACCACTCTCTAGAAAGAGAGAAAAAAATACCTGTTCCTTTTCTGTAAGATTGTCATTACCATAAGATCGTCAGTCCTAAGACTGGTTGGACATGCACCTCCACTCCATCCTATACTGAGCTAATCTTTGCATTTCCCAAAAACTAGAACAACTCACATCCTTACCTATTTGCGAACAGTAATTTAAGCTAGGTCTACTTCTACCCCTCCTAACTCCCATTTCTGCCTCTAATATGTCTGTGACTACACCTTCATGCCAGAGAAGGTGTCCTACTAACCTATCTCGCCTATTTCTAATTGTCTTCCATAGAGTCCTCTGTTCTCCCATTCTTTCTAATACCTCTTCATTTCTAACCTTCTCTAAATCTACGGTATCCTCATCATGCACCTATAACACCACATTTCGAACGCTTCTAACCCTTTCTTTTTCGCCGCGCCCTAAACATACAATTTCTAAATTAACCGTTCGCCAGCATAGAAGTGACTTCTTTTTTTTGAAGGCGACACGACCCTGCGCTACCCTCTGCTTTATATCCCTACTACTTCTTCTGTCCTGACTTATCTGACTTCCAAGATACCTGAAATCAGCCAGTTCTTCTAATATTTCGTCTCCCATCTTTATATTCACACTTTCCCTACTTTTTCTTCCCTTGCATACCACTATAGTTGTATTACTTTTATTTATTTTCATACAGTACAGTTTTGTCAGTACCGTTTCGATTTTATTTAAAGCTATCTCTAACTCCTCCTCCTACAGTTGTACTCCCTTTAATAATGTTGAGCGCGTCTTCGATGTATAAATTAAAAAGTAACTGTTACACTGTGCATCCCTGCCTGATTCCCTTCCTAATATTTACTTCTCTACGTTGCAATCCCAGTTTTATAACTGCCTGTTGCTCTATATACAAAGTAAATATCACTGTTCTTACTTTGTAACTCACCCCTACATTTTTAAGTATATTTAACATCTTGTCCCATTTAACGCTATTTCTAAATCCACAAATCCTATGTACGCACTCTTTTCTTTTTCTATCGTTTTTTCTATTGTTACCCGTAAAGCTAGAATGTCCTCCTGCGTTCCTCTATTTCTTCTAAATCCAAACTGATCTTCCCCTAACAGTTCTTCCGCCATTTTTTTCTATCCTCCTCTGTACAATTTTAGTTAAGATTTATAAAATGAATGGGAAGTTTAGCTAATTGTTCTGTAAGTCTGTAAAAACTACAAAAAGAGATAACTACTGACCACACGATTGCTTTATCTTTCCTGCACGTTTCTGTCCGAATTTACATTATAGCCGGATAGACAATGAGCAGTCCATTTTCTAAGTCTATGACTTAAACCCTTACCTAGCCTAATGATTTCGTCGGTGGGCGTTTAGTCAAGGCTATTCCCGCATATTGTAACATTAACTATGACCCTACGATAACCGAGTATTGACATTTAAACGAGCTAAAGAATTTGCGTCATTAACTACTGTACTGGTTGAATTTCAAATCTAATTGTATAAAAGTATGCGGTACGATTGATGATTGATTAACAATTTTGACTTTTTGATGTATTATAGCAACTATACGTTGAATTTTAGCCTACACGGAATAAATTCAATTTTTATGACAACGCAAAAATTGCAATTCTCGATTGTAAATGAATTTGCCGTAGAAATTGTAGAATTTATTAGGTAACTTATTATTATTTGAAGTTTCTTAATTAATAAAATTTAATTTGTAATATCAACTAAAATACCTAGTAAATTTATTCCTGTTGGGACTTTATTTTTAAAAATTCGGGTCCAAATTGTAATTTTTCATTATTTTCGCTTACGAACAAACGGGCTAGTTGGATAAATTGTAAATATCGCTTTAATATTTAGGTCAATTTTCCTGTTTCATTTTTTTTCGTGTAGTACTTAATATATTCTCATTAAAAATGTTAAAATTTTAATTTGAGTAACATAAAAATTTTGGTTTGGAGTAATGTTTCTTCATTTAACTTGCTTTGCACTTTCGGAAGTAATTCGTAATTCATGTTATTATTATAACATTCATTTTGTAAAACTATTGTAGTTCTTCTGAGGAAGCCGAGAATTTACGGCGAAGATTTAAGAAATTTCATCAATCCCATATCCTATACAATTACATTTAAACACCCTCAACACGTGAAAAAATGAGTGGTTTTTTGTTAAAAGCTTAGATTAAACGACAATATCCTCGATTTCGTAAGGCTTAAGGAACAGTCCTATCTTACACGTTAGTTTTTTAATAGCATTTTTAAAAGAACAATATTTTTTTAAACAAGATTTCACTTTTATAGTTCATAGTTCATATACGAGAGTGCATTTAATTTTGAAAAATAAAGAAATCACTTATACTATGTTTTTTCATATCGAGGGACAATACTAGAAGTCAAAAAGAAAACGGAAAAATAAAATATGCTATAAGCCATAAGGACACTTACAGCTGCCAGAAAAGTTCATGGGATGGGTAATGGCGTCGTAGCGGTCAATGGATAGGGCGACGAGAACGTACGTTGACGAATAAGTTACAACTGCCTGAAGGAAGCGGATTAGTTTACACAATACATTTCCGGCATACCAGGCTATAGTGATCCGCCAGACGATATCTGTCGAAACGTTGATAAGACCAACGGCTAAATCTGAAATAGTACAAAAGAAGATATATTGCAATTAAATATACATAATTCGGACGGTAGCAGTAGAATTAACTTCTAATTACTCAAAAAAAATATTCTAAAGAATTACTTTTCAGGTAAATAAGATAATCACAAATGACTTATCCCAACGTTAATTACCAATTATATTCTAATACAGGTACAAAATAGAATGAAATAGATAACTCAATTAAAATTGTATGTAAACAAAAGTGTTGAGCGAACGCTTCCTTAACGGTAAGAGGTGTACGAACTCTTGTTATTGTACAGTAGTAGAGCCTATAAAAGCTTTTAAAAAATTGTGGACATACGAGGTCTGTTGAAAAAGTATCGCGAATTTTAAATTTCCGCGGATTACGTATATTCGATGTTTTTGTGGCGTTATGTTAGTACTCACGTCTCTCACTTATACCGACAAGTTCGGCCATGTTGAATGTTGAGTTAATTTTTCACAGCTCCTTTGCCTGCACGTGTTTTGACTCGTTTTTGATTTTCGCCTATTCTAAAAAATGGACCAAAGAATCTGTATCAAATTTTGTGTGAAAAACAAAATTAAGTGCACGGACGCATTCAGAATGTTAGCTGCGGCATACGATAAAGCTACCTTGGACCGAAGCAACGTTTATTAGTGGCACAAAATGTTCTCAGAGGGCCGAGAAGATCTGAACGACGAAGAGCACGCCGGACGCCCGAGCACGTCAACAACAGATGAAAACATTGAGGATGTGAAAAAAATAGTATTGACTAATCGTCAAATCACCGTTAGAGAAGTTGCTGAGGAACTAAACATATCGATTGACTCCTGCCATTCGATTTTTACCAATGATTTGGGCATGAGATGGGTCGCCGCGAAATTCGTACGAAAATTGCTCAATTTCGACGAAAAACAGCATCGCATCAACATTGTTAAGGAGTTGTTGTACTCTGTCCGTGACAACCCAAATTTGCTCCAGAGGGACATAACGAATCATTTATGGTTATGATGTGGAAATGAAAGCTCAATCATCAATGGAAGCTGTCGCACGATCCACGACCGAAAAAGCCGCGCCAAGTTAGGTCGAATGTGAAGATTTTGCTTACAGTTTTCTTCGATTGCAGGGACGTGGTGCATCATGTGTTCTTGTCACAGGGTAGAACGGTCAATAAGGAATATTACCTGCAAGTTATGCGCAATTTGCGCGAAGTAATCCGCCAGAAACGCCCGGATTTCTGGAAGCACAAAAATTAGCTTTTACACCATGATAATGCCCCTACTCACACACCGTTGCTTGTGCGCGAGTTTTTGGACAAGAACAACATACTAATAATGCCGCAGCTACCGTATAGCTCGGATCTGTCCTCCTGTGACGTTTTCTTGTTTGCGAAACTGAAGAGGCCTATGAAAGCACGACGCTACGCTATGACTGAGGAGATAAAGACGTCATTCAAGGAGGAGCTTAAAAAGATCACAAAAAATTATTTCTTGAAGTGCTTCGACGATTGGAAAAAACCTTGGCACAAGTGTATAATATCTGGTGGTGATTACTTCGAAGGGGACAAAATAGATATTCATGAATAAATAAATAATTTTTGAAAAAACGCAAAATTCGCGATACTTTTCGAACAGAGCTCGTATTAGGCTATATCTTTTGTAACAGAATGAAATAATTATTTTTGTCGTGAGTAGATAACAAAAAGTGTAGTAATTTAATGACATAAGAGTTTTGTATCTCCAATTAAGCTAATGTGGCCCTTTGGTCCTCACTACGTCGCTTCCTGCTTTACAATCTCTGAAAACTCTGTAGAGACAATTCAGAATCTCATGCGCCATGACTTTGGCTTGTGCAGTGACAAAAATCCATCCGTTTATCCATTTTTGCATGTATACCTTTTATAGCACTGTTTACAGTTTATTTGAATCTCCGTTTCTGATTGTATAGTGAAGCATATGTTTAACAATCGAGTCATTGTCTTTGAAATGTATAATTAGCTTCGCCCTCGCTCATTTCGTAGCCCATGAGATTCTGAAATACCTCTACCATTATTTATTGCTGATTTTAATGAAAAAGAAGCAAAAGATATCACTCGAGTGAGAAAGACAGAGAGAGAGAGCTATAAAACTACGTCGCTTCCTGTTCTACAATCAGTAAGTATCTACGCGTTTGGTTCGCTATCAGTTTGTGTATTTTATTATCCTTCAACGGAGAAATACGACACTCAATAATATATATTTCCATAAAGTGCCATAAAGGCTGAAGTATATACTGTCCTCGCTTAAATTGTCGTCGATGTTTGTAGGTTCTTTTATACCGATAAATTTCGTCACGTACATAACAAAAGAATTGGTATGCGGGTTACCATTTCTAAAGTATCTTTATTCCTCCGCCAACGCGGCACAAAAGACAAAAAAAGCGTTGGCTTTTACCGCAATGTATCGTGCCATTCGAATAAATAAAGACCGAAAATGGGAGGACCGTAGTCATTTGCTTTTTATTTGAGTTTTATTTTCCTATAATTTTATTCAAAAAGCTGAAAGATTTACACCACGAAGGACGGCAAATCCGAGAATTATTTAACAGATGCTGAGAATGATGTCTAAGCGGAAATCTGTTTTTACCGCTGTTCGTTTAGCCACTCTAATAAAGTTGACATGATGACAACAAATAGTAGAAAAAAAACGTGATTCAGTGTAACGCTTAAAATTCATCTAAAAAACTGTGCGATAAAAACGTTTAAGTGGCTTTCTTGAGGATTTCGTACTTTACCTAAATACAGGGTGACTGGAAATTGTTCGTATTCCTCTCTGGAGAAGAAACTAATAGAAAAACTGCAGCATATTTGGGATAATGCAGGTAACTTGGAAAAAAAACTTTTGGGTGTTTCATTCCCACCAGCCAGCAATGCTAGTGGGCGGGCAGTCCCTCCGGACTACGCCGGAAGGTAGGGCGGAAGGCCCTCTTCAGCCTGCTTTCAGGAATCGTGGGAATGGGTGGGTGGTGGTTCGGGTGAGAAAGATGAGACGGACGAAATGAAGACAGAAGAGAATGAAAGATTATCTGTGGAATATTACTGCCTCAGCATTTGCCTATGTGATCCAAGGAAACCACAGAAAAACTTGGATCAAGGCAGACGGACCCGGAATCGAGCCGGCGTCCTCTCGAATGTTAAGCAATGGTCTAAACCTCTAGGCTATGCTGCTCGGTCTAACTTGGAATACTTCGATATCTAAATAATTATAAACGTTATCTATATTTCTTTACCGTAAACATAAAGTCATACGTCACAAGAAGCCATCCAGTATTAAAACCAGAACGCCACTTTGGCATTCTGGCTACCAGCCACAAGGGATTGAGACGCCTGTTTTTAAAAAAATTTCGGTAAGAATGCAATCAGTGATAATTATTTATTGTAATACTTTAAATCTTCATCGTAATTATTTAAAGTGTTAAGTGACCTTGTTAGTTTATGATGTTAGCATGATATTGGGAATATATATAGAATTAAAAATGTGACATCGAATTTTATGTTAAGATGGTATGTTGTTAATTTGGAATATCGAAAGTGAGCATAATTTGGAATTAATTAGATGTTATTTTAGGTTCTTTTGTTTAAAAAGGATTGATTGCTTAAAGATTTAAAGACTATAAAACTGTTACAAAGATAAGAAATCTTTAGTTTCTAAGGAGTAGTGTTAGTAAATACCAAAAAAAATTTGAATATAATTTATATTCCAAATTACCTGCACCCTAGGTCAAGTCTCGATTTTGGAGTTTTTTAGTTTGATAGGTATTTTGATAAGGTTTCTGGTTTTTATTATGTTTGATTGTTTTTATTATTACAGTTTAATAATTTGTCAACTATTTAATGTATTTTTATTGAGCCATCAGTTTCTCTTTAAATGTATCCTCAAAAAACAAACTAGTATTCCAAATATCCTGCAGTTCCTCTACTAATTTGGATTGATTTTACCTCTATTACTTTGGTTGGAAATGTGACATTTTCAATAAAAATCTACTTCGGTCTTCTTGATATAAAAAACTGAATTTTGGGACTTAAAAATTAAAAAAAAAATTGGTTTGAATTTTTCTGTGATCTAGCTCATAAATTGGTCAACCTTCCAAAAACTAAAAACCATATTTACTGTTAGATTTTATGTCGTGTGTGATAAAGGTTAAATAATTCTAGATTAATGATAGTTTCTTCTTCCAAGAGGAATACGAGCAATTTCTAGTCACCCTATAGATAGTACAAAATCCTTAAGTTATTCAACGCTCAGTCTTATTTTATGTGGAAATGTCCTAATAGAGTTTGAGGATCAAATTTACTACAGATTCTTGTGGCGACAATAAAGAAGTAAAATAGGATCTCGAAAAAGTCTTTTAGTCTTTCTTTTATGTAAAACACACAATTTCAAAAATTTTAAACGTTTTTCCGTAATTTGAATAGTGACATTCTACAAGAAAATCGTTGTCACTTTTTATTGCACTATTTGAAGCAATACTATATATATATANAAAACATTTTTAGTATTTGAAATTTTAAGTTTTATAACTAGATTTTAACAATCAATATATAAAAAAGAAGCTGTTTGAAAAAAGGAACTTACAAGAATGTCCTAGGTGTAAGTGTTCTGTGTTCCTATGTCTGGATAGCACATGCGTTTGAAATATGGAGTTAGTCTACTTTTTTTTCGATATTTTTACATATTTTAACTACCCGGGACTACTTTATTCGCTAAAAGGTCAAGTTATGCGTTGGACGAAGGGTCAACTTATGCATTAGAGGAAGGGTAGGGTAAGTTTTCGAAATTTTATAACTCTCACAACTATCGGTACTATTCTCTTTAAAAGTCATGACAAGTTCGCATGTGTTTAGAAGATTTTTTTTTAGAAAAACGTAAGTATGAGCAATATCAAAACATTGTTGAACAAGACCAAGACGGAGACTATATTAGTAAGACCAAGACTAGAAGTATTTGAGCAAGACCAAGACTGTCTCAAGTCTTGATCTTGCTTATTCGGTCTTGCTTTGCCCATCACTAGACACAAGTCCCAAAATATTAGCAACTACTTGTGAAACACCCTGTATTTATCAAGAAGCGAAGTTTTAGACAGAGGAAATTGCATTAAAATTGATCCTTGAAGTTTCATTATCATCTTTGAAATAGTTCTAAAACCCGTTATCATATTATAGTAACACTACAAAAGAACGAACAAATTAATTAAATAAAATTGAATTCCGTGTTAAAGTAAAAAAATTTCTTTGAATCATTATATTAGTTTTTCTTTATAAAAATAGGACCGTCGAATAATATCTTTTTTCAGGAATGGTCTACTGGATCTTTTCATTGCAACTAAATTATACAAAATAAACCAATTGTGTTTGTTTGGAAAATTAGTCTACTAAAATACTTACTCAATAATGAAATGAATATGCTGAGAGTCGTTTGTTTTATTTGTCTTTTTGGATGAAAAAAGACGTCTAGACAGTAAATTATTACAACAGTGGTCAAATAAACATAATGAAAATATGACGATACCATGATTGATTTCTTTAATTCAGTGGTTGGAATTTCTATATTTTCACCAGAAGTATAAATGTAAACAACAGAATATTTGCGCTGTACGTTTGCAGATAAGTACACTACGTAATAGAAAAATATTTCGATTCTGAAGGGACTGAATTTAACAAAAAAAAAACTCTTGGCTGAGGTTTTGCTCGCGTAGATTCGATATTGAAAAATCTTTGAAGTGAAACTGTTTTAGTCTTATCTAGAAGTCAGCAAGACCTTGCTCAAATCGAGGTTGGCAGATAAGCTTAGTAAAAAAAAATACTGGTCATAAGTGAATTCACAAATGTATTACAGGAGGCGACTTATCTAAGCTTCTAAGCTAACCATTAAAAGCCTATAACGAACGAAAAGGAGTACTAATTTTAAACTTTTGGTATACTTTCTAAGGCAATCTACTTAACGAAAATATTTACTTTCATATAATATTATTCATTATTATTCATATAATTTTATTTCTGATTGTACAGTGAAACATATGGTTAACAATCGAGTCATGATAATGCAGGTAACTTTAAAAAAAAACTTTTGGGTGTTTCATTCCCACCAGCCAGCAATGCTAGTGGGCGGGCAGTCCCTCCGGACTACGCCGGAAGGTAGGGCGGAAGGCCCTCTTCAGCCTGCTTTCAGGAATCGTGGGAATGGGTGGGTGGTGGTTCGGGTNGAGATTCTGAAATACCTCTACCATTATTTATTGCTGATTTTAATGAAAAAGATGCAGAAGATATCACTCGAGTGAGAGAGGGACAGCTATAAAAAAAAACAAATGAATGCCTTTCAAAACATTGTGCCTTTTCTCATTTTTTCTATTTGTCTAAGAACCACATCAAGAAGATTCATTATTAGATATTACATGCCATACTTCCAGATCGAACGGTTGATAGGTATGTCTTCTCTCTATGTTCTTCTTTCTCTCTCTGTCTCTTTAAGCGTAAACGGTAGGTAATTTTGACTAAATAGCACCAGCTTCCCCTTTTCTAGAGATCGTTTTGCGTTTCGTACCATTAATGAAATTACCCCATAGTATTACGTACACACACCCGAGATAAAAATGTTCAGTCTTTCAGAATCTCTGAAAGCGAGACTCGAGTCTCCGTTGCTCATCGAGTATCTCTGGTGTCGCTGAGAGACTGTCGAGAGATTGCCAAAAAAACTGTTTAGCGTCTCTGAACGAGAGACTCGAGTCGCTCATAGAGAGATCCTCATTTCGTATCCAGTCTCTGAACGAGAGACTCGAATCTCTGAACGAGAGACTCGAGTCGCTCATAGAGAGATCCTCATTTCATATCCAGTCTCTGAACGAGAGGCTCGAATTTCTGAACAGGAGACTCGAATCTCTCAATAAGTGGTGTCTCGATAGACATGGTTAAAGTTTTCTAAGTTCAACATATTTCAGAGTTCCCAGTCTTTCTACGAGAGACCCGAGTCTCAATTTTTCAGTTTTATTCATTCAGTCTCTCTGTGAGAGACTCGTATCTCTGAATTAACAATTTTATCATTCGAGTCTCTCATACAGAGACTGTGAAAGATCCATAAAACACCTAGGCAATAACTGAGAAACTGTGAAAGACTGTAAGGGACGCTCTCAGAGACGCTGAAAGACTCTGAAAGACTGAGAGGAGAGAGAGGAGAGAGATAGAAAATTTTTGTCTAGGGCACCAAACGGTAAATAATGGGAGGACTACTAATAACATACATATTCTTCGTCGTTTTGCATGTGCTTATTTTATAAATACACATGATTTTAATTGTTTTAATAATTTAGTGCGAAGGTATACGAGAAAGCTCATGGGCCTTGGCAAAAAAACCATCCCTTCTTTTAATAAAATAAATAAATAAAACTTTAATATACTATGATAAAGGATTATTTTTTCTTGAAATCTAAGGATTTTCGTATCTATTTTTGATTATTCCGGGTATAACTTTTAAGCAATTCCGGTTGCAATCTCATGACTACAACTTTCGGTATCAAAAAATAAAAAAGCTCTTCAAACAGCATTGTCGTAAAACGGAATTTTCCAGCTTTTGATTTCAGAGATCACAACCAGTTTCTTGCTACCAAAACGGAAATTGCATCAGGTAATGATCCGGAAGTGAGTTAAGAATCTTACCCGCGATAGCCAATTGTCGGATAAAGAAGTTCATTCTGGATTTTCTACTTTTGCTGACGAGTAATGTTACAAGCACAGCAGAATTTCCCACCACTATCATCGTGAAGAGTATCCACATTACTGTAAACTGTTCAGTCTGCAACAAAATAAATTGATAAATTCACATTGTTTATAGGTATCGTTTAAAATATATTAGAATCAGCTTATAATGACATCGAAGGGAAATAACAAACACGCCATACTAAGCGGGCGTCATACAAAACATAGTCTTAGAAAATAAACAACTTTCTATTTTGGTTAGTTATTTAGTGTAATAGAGAGAAAAACTACAAACTGTATATATTTATTAACAGAAATAGAAAAAGAACGACGAATTGTAATATCAATATACATAAGAAGGGTCAGAAAAATGAGCGAAAAAGTTATTATTAATCATTGGAATCAGTCATAATAAACGATATGTCATTTTAAACGGAGTCATTATATCCAAACTTTCCTGTAGAAAATTTAATAAGAAAACCAAACTTAACATTGCAATTACTTCATATTAAGCGGTTGGTCAATATAAGCGGAGTTATAAAAAACGAATTCCACTGTATAATGAAAATATTTTGAAACAAATGTATAATCGCACAAAAAGATTTAAAGAGTCTTTTCTCCTGATTACCGATTAGACCTAGACATTTTGCTACACAAAAGTTATGACAACTATTTCATCTGGTTGATAGGTCGAGAATTACTTTTACAATTAATTAATCTTGGTGAAACATTTTGAATAATCAAAAAAGTAAGAGCCTTGGAATGTTTTAATTAGCTTATTATCGAAACCTCTGATACTTTCAGTTAAATTAAAACAATTGTCAGAGGTGTTAATAATAAATTAGTAAAACATACCAAGAATATCGACTGCAGTAATTTTCGCAGTGAATCGAATCGTATTTTTTATTATTTACCACAAAACATTATTCATATTAAACATTTTGCCATACAAAAGTTATGATAGCTATTTAATCTGGTTTAAAGGTCGCGAATTACTAGATGATGATACACTTCTTGCACATGGATATATAGAAATATTTTTAATCTTGTATAATCTTGATGAAACATTTTGAATAGTACAAAAGGAAAGAGCTTTGGAATGTTTTAACCAACTTATTATCGAAACCTCTGACCTCTGAATCTATTTTTATCATAATGCAATTCTAGTGTTGTTGTTGTTGTTGGGAACATTATTACTTTATTATTTGTTTTATTTTTTGGTTTATATGAGACTTGCTCATCGTTAATTATTTTTTTCATAACTACTAGTTCTAGTTCTAGTTCAGCAAGTCGAATAAACGGCTCTGCCTGTCTGATTCGTCAAACGTTCAAAAACTATCGCGAATTTTGTGTTTTTTCAAAACTTATTTATTTATTCATGAATATCTATTTTGTTCCCTTTAAAGTAATCTCAAACAGATATTATACACTTTTGTCAACGTTTTTTTCAATTCTTGAAACATTTCAAAAAATCATCTTCGTGATCTTGTTCATCTCTTCCTTCAGTACCGTCTTTATCTCCTCAATCGTAGCGTAGCGTCGTCCTTTCATGGGTCTCTTCAGTTTCGGGAACAACAAAAAGTCACAGGGTGCCAGATAGTGTGTTGTTTTTGGCCAAAAATTCGCGCACAAGCAACGATGTATCATTATGCAAAAGCCAATTTTCGTTCTTACATAAATCATGCCGTTTCTGGCGGATTGCATAACGCAAAAAAAGTATAACTTGCAGGTAATATTCCTTATTGACCGTTCAACTCTGTGGTAAGAACTCATGATGCACAACGCTCCTGCAGTCGAAGAAAACTGTAAGCAAAACCTTCACATTCGACCTAACTTGGGATGATTGAGTTTTGAATTCGACGTCAGTTATTAATGCTCAACTAAGTTTCAGTTAACACGAACTTCCTCGATAACAACTGCACTGCTTAAATGCAAATCTTCTTGGCTAGACCGCATTCAAATGTATGAACACGCGGTTCACGTGTTTTATTAACTACCCACACCGGCAACACGTCGCTGACCCAGTGCTAAAACTTATTGCATTGCATTAACTACACAAATTGTTTCTTGATTAAAACAAAAAGCAACGAAAATGTAAGCAATTTTCTTAATGCCCCTTAGTTTCCGTTCCACTACTTTATGTTCCATTCCTATACTCCTATGACCATAATGTAAAAATTAATTGTTTCTAACCAACTCACTTTGTACATTGTGAAACAACCACTGCTAGGAAGTCTGCCCCAGTCTCTGTCTTTGTCTTGGTCTTGGTACTGAGTGTTAAGTCTTGGTGTTGCTCAGTTAATCAGATACTTACGCTTTTTTTAGTAATTTTTCTAACTACAAATGTTTCTATTTACCGACACAATAATTATATTAAATGCTGAAATTTTCTGTCATACATGCGAGGTTGTTATGACGTTTAAAGAAAATAGTGTCGATAGTTGTGAAAGTTATGAAAATTCGAGATTTTACCATTCTTCCAATGTATATATTGATCCTTCCTCTAACGGATAAATTAACAGTTTAGCAAACGAAACCTACAGGGTCCTTGAAAGAAATGTTAAATATGGAAAAACATTACTTTGTCTATATTTTAACCATGTGTTATCCAGACATAGGAATAAGGAGCATACCTACTCCGAGGACCTATCTTTAGTCCGCTTTTTTCAAACAGTGGTATTTTTAAATTTGGTCTTTGTCTTGCATATTTGGTCTTGGTTTTAGTCTTAGCCTTGTCCATAAGGTTTGGTATTGGTCTCGCTACTACAACGACAGTCTTGGTTTTGGTCTTGCATCTTAGCAAGAAGGAGACCAAGACTATAACACCAAGACCAATTTTGATTATCACTAATACTAAATATTTTCTTCATTAATTTTTATTTATGGTTAAATTGAACCAATCCATAAAGCCCTCTACTCTCTTTGCATATTCATTTGATATCCACAAAACTGTTTATGTAAGTACATTGTGAGTTTAATTAAAGAAAAAAAGGGTAGTTTTATATATAGACATTTTATCATTTATTATTTTTATCGTTTGCTCTTGTCGTTTACTTTCCTGGTCTTTTAGGTTTTGAATACATTAAATTTTAATATGTGATGTTGATTATTCATTAATTTTATTTTTAGATTAGTGACAATTTTCAAATAGCGTTGGTAAGTATACTATAAAGGTATATAAAGTAAAACGCAGAGGAGTTTCTTAAGGCATGATACCATCTGGCATAAAGAGTTGTCGTTGTTGTTTTTATTTGTTAAATGATGTTTGTAATATATGCCCAACGTAGGTTCGTAACTGAAGGTTACCTGTAATGCTATTGAAGTGACCCAATTTATTCAAATATTCTCAAAAATTCCTGTTTCCTGAATTCGTTAAGAAAATTTACGCATCATTTCCCTTGAATGTTCATGCATAATGAAACAAATAGAAATAAATAATATATATTCGATAACCATTGTAACATATACCCACATTCGTATTAATATTATAAACTAAACCATTTTTTCATAAAACGATACAAGGAAATTGGGAAAAACACGACGCTTTATTATTTTTAATTGCTAGATTTATGAAGCTGATGGATGGTCTCAAAATACGTGTAGATTTCAACGTTAAAAATTTCCAATTGTTTACCTTTTTGTAAGTATTGCTATGTAAAATTAAGAGACAAGAATTTCGATTTGCAGTTGAATTATAATTTCAACTCCTCATCATCATAATGTCGAAAGTCTTAAGACACGCGACATAAAGTCGTCAGTCCTAAGACACGCGCCTCCACTCCTTCCTCTCCTGAGCTAATATTCGCATTTCCCTAAAACTAGAATATCCCACATCCTTAACGATTTCTAAACGCCAATCTAATCTAAGTCTACCCGTACTCCTTTTTCTCCTTCTAATATGTCTCTGACTAGACATTCATACCTGAGAAGGTGTCCTACCAACCTATCTCACCTATTTTTTATTAACTTCCATAGAGTCATCTGTTCTCCTATTCTTTTTAATACTTCATCATCTCTAACCTTCTTTATCTACGGTATCCTCATCATTCGCCTATTTTCAACGCTTTTAACATATTATTTCACTCCGCGTCTACCGTCCATGTTTAGCACCCGTACAGCGCCGCGCTCCAAACATACACCTTTAACAATCCTTTTCGAATTTTTAAATTAATCGTTCGCGAGTATAGAAGTGACTTCTTTTTATTGAAAGCCACTCGGGCCTGCGCTATCCTCTACATCTCTACTACCTACTCCTTCCGTCCTGATTTATCTGACTTCCCAGATACCTAAAATTAGCCACTTTCGTTTCCTACCTTTATATTAGCTCTTTCCCTACTCTTTCTTCCCTTGCATACCAGTATTTTTGTTTTACTTTTATTTATTTTCATACAATACTGTTTTGTCAAATTTCGGCTAAGATTAAGAAGAATATCCACATCTAATTCTAAATAGAGTGGTTTCACTTGTTTGATTTTTATTAGGATTTCTTGAAATTTCAATGTGCTAAAGCTTTTTTGGGGCCAGATTCAATTTCGCCGTCAAAGAGTAAGTATATTGAAAACGATCACCTTTTGTTTTGATTCCTGTTTCAACCCTCCACGATTTCTCAGAAAAAAGATAGCATTCTAAAAAAAGGGAGAATCACGGTGGCGGGTTGAACAGAAATAATAACCGGATCAATAGCTTTTAATGTATTTTTCGAATACCAACTCGAATGTGGTCCCAGAATTACCGAAGATCGGCGAAACTTCCTAAAATCAAAGCTAAATTGACAGTGTAAATCGTATCTCGGGGTTAAAACATTCTTGGCAAAACCATTACTTTTGTCAAATTTACATCAAATTAAGTATGTCATGTAAATAGAGGGTAAAAGCGTCCTATTTGTTTTTTTAATTACGTCATTGAAACAGTGAATTAGTGCTCAATAATTTACGGAAATGTAGACTGTGGTACATTTAATTGAATTACCGAGGAACAGACACGTTAAGTTGCGACAAAACGGGGCGGCGCAGAGAAGTACGCGAAAAAAGTACAAAAACTATTATGATTGGTTCTCATTATTTCGGAAAAAGTTTTAAGCAAAAAAATACACGAAGA